ACTGTGAGCAGGTCTGAAACCAGATTGAGATACAGGTAGCAAAGAGTTAAAGTCTAAATAGGATGAGAGTTGATTAAAAACAACTTTTTCTATTATTTTAGAGATGAAAGTAATATTAGTTACAGGTCTATAATTAGATAAAGAGGTAGGATCTAGGGATGTGTTTTTAAGAATAGGAATAACAATAGAATTCTTATAAGAAGTAGGAAATTTAGAGGTGGAAAGAGATAAATTAACTAATTTGAGAATGATTGGATAAAATATTGTAGAGAATTCTTTAAGTAAATTAGAAGGAAGTAGATCTAGAGAACAGGTTGTAGACGACATAGAATTAATAATTTTAGTTAGTTCTAAAAGATTTATTGGAGTAAATACAGAGAAAGATTCAGTAGTAAGTTTAGTAAAGTTATGAGAAGGAAAATTAGATTAAATTAGTGTAATAATAATATTTAACTGACTCAACAACTTGGTAGCTAGAACACCTCAGTTGTCAGTTTGCCTTCTGATGAGTCAAATTTCCTGGCGGTATAGACAAGCCTGTTAAGGATGGGTTCTAGAAATTGTGCTGTTTTAGCTCTTAGGAGAAGAAACAATCCCCCAAGCCATCTAAGGAATCCTAGTTGAAATCTGTTGCCATTCAGAAGACTGTTAATGGCTTATTTGCTTTCATCTTAACATTGTTCTTGATTTTTGCGCTTTTGAATAATTGTACAATTTAATTGGCTTTCTATAAGTGGTGAATGATAATAATAACATATGTATGCATGTATGCGTGAGTGTGTGTGTGCGTGTGTGTGAGTGGTGTGCGTGTGGTGTGTGCATGGTGTGGTGTGTGTGTGACATCTTTAATTGTTTTTTTTATTGATATACATATATTTACCTATACCTCCTGACCTAAACTATCATCTACATAACAATATTCTATAATTTGTCTGCGTGATGATATCAATACAAAGCAATCAAAAACTTATTTAAAAACTCAACTGTCTTTAGCAAAAGAAACTTTGTTAGCCGTAGATACGAATTTACCATCATTAACCTATGAATCAGTCTACAATTTGTCGAATGTTGTTGATGTTTTAACAAATCCGATCTGTGTTATCAATAAAGTTATATCCGATGTCAAATTAAACAGTTATACTGTTTCAAAGAAACGTAAAAAAAACCTTGGTTTACAAAGAGATTTGAAAATTTCTCACGATTCAAAATAATTTGTATAAAAATTTCTACATTTTAAAATAAAACTTCAGACAGCTTACTTCAATTTACCCCAGACCCCAATTTCTATTGAAGATGTATTTATATATCCAAATACATATATACGTCATTAAATACACTATTCCATCTTACGCTTTATTTGTTGTGGTGTCAACATTATTTTCACTACAATCACCAGCATCTTCATCATCTTCATCGTCTTCATCATCATCATCATCATCATCATCTTCTTCTTCTTCTTCTTCTTCATCTTCATCATCATCATCATCTGTATCATCTTCACGCTGTGATGTCATCGCCGTCCTCTTCATTCTTTTGATTAGTTATAAGTTTCTAATCTAATTATACCTATTTTTTCACAAAATAGTAATAACAATAATAATGATAATATTAATAATAATAAATACCATAAAATAAATAATAATAATAATAATAGTCATGGTTATTTTTAAACAGGAAAAAAAAATTTTGCCAATCTAATTAAAAACTTCTCAAGTTTTTAGAGGTTTTTTATTTCAAAAACTTCATCCTTAATTATCGCCATTTATAATCTCTATGCACATCTCTATTTATGTTTTAAATATATCATTGCTTTTGAATATCTATGGTTTTGTGTCTATGTTAAATTACTGTCTCAAATGTATCTTGATATATGATATCTTTGTTTTATGACGTCAACGCTTTGAGTTTTGCATCTATGGAATTTTTATATCTTTGTTTTTAAATATCAATGTTTTACTATTAGCGTGTGTTTGTGTTTATGATAATGATGATAATAATAATTATTATTATTATTATTTAAAATTTTGTTCATTTATTTTTCGTCTTTCTACTCCACTTACATTTTAAAAAATCATATTTTTGGTTTTTGATTTTTCCATCTATCTACTGTTTTATTTCCGGTTTAAACACAATACGTGTTCCATTAAAAGTAATTCTTTATTTCTTTTTTCTTCTTCTTCCATTTTCTTCCCTCAATCTTCAAATTTTTTCAAGAGTCTTATCCAAAATTCAACATCACCCCACTATCTATAATTGTGTACGTACGTATGTATGTATGTATGTATGCATGTATACATGTATGTATGTGTGTGTATATATGTATATGCGTATGTTTATTGCACGTGTGTGTCTGTGTTAGTGTATGTGTATTTATGCCTGTGTGTGCATATTTCTGTGTGTAAGTATGTCTGTGTGTATGTGTGAGTGTGGGTTA